TTAACAGCTGCCTTATAACTTCTGGGATTCATTCTCAGAGTCTTGGGTACAGCCCTGAACCAGCAAGACAATTCCAGAAGGTCGCAGCACGCTTACCCTTTCTCTGGACACCATCCTAGTTAGGCCTCCTTTTAGAGAAAGGCTCTTCTCAGAAATGGCGTGTGCTAGGAGAGGTAACCAATGGGCAGCTATGCATTAGTTCCCACTTCACTCTTGCTGCCATGGGAAATGCAGACATAAACACTGATTTGACCTATGGTGCTGGAAGTCACAGGTGCAACTTGACGGTGGCTTTGCTTAGCAGAGCCTGCTTGTTATTCAGGACTCGGTCTCAACTCTGACCATCTACAGTGGCGAGCCACCCAGGAACTGAACAAAGACAAATGCTTTTCTGGTGTCCGGATCTCTGTGCAGCCTGGAAAGGGTTTGGGGCAGGAGGACTTGGCCTTTCTCAATGGCTTTTCTCTGCTTGGAGAAGAATGGTGTTCTTGAAATGGACATTGCTCGTAGTAGACAGGACCGAGCGAGGTAGGACAGAATGCTCAGGCATAGCTCTATAACTAGGTGACCGGCAGTTGGGTGACAGTGGACATTCCTAGCATGTTTCATTTCAGGAATATATCACAAAACACTAATGTTGAGGGAAAATAGCACGCTAAATTTCCTTAAGAGCAAAGGCTGCAACACCCTTTTTGTTTCTAGGAGACAGATAATACTCCATTCTGCAGTACAGACTCCATCATTTCACAAATGTCCTGGCTAGCTACTATGTGTCAGGCATAAACACAGACACAATCCTCGCCTTCAAAGTGCAGAGAGAGTACATTAGCAGAAGGCACGAAGGAGGAAAGAAACGGGAAAGGAGGGAGGCTCACAGAAGACACTTGGGAAGAGGTCAGAACAGTTGTTCTCAAACTGATGGTTTTGACCCCCTGAAGGAGGGGCCAAGTGACCCTTTGGCAGGTTGATTCATAACAGCAGCAAAATGACAGTTATGAATTAGCACTGAAAAAAATTTAATTTAATTTAAGGGGTCTCCACAGCATGGAAAACTGCATTAAAGGGTGGCAGCATTAGAAAGACTGAGAACCACTGCTCTAGAACATTCATCTTCATCTTCCAAATCCAACTGTGCTATGGTCTGAATCTAACTCTCGGTCAGAGCTGTAGCCTAACAGAATAGACAGCATTTCACTCAGGGGAGCTCCAAGTTCTCCCTGCTGGGATGTGCTCTGCAGAGGTTCGGGTCTTGGTCCTCTGGTGACTGCCCAGTCCTTGTCAGGCTCTAGCCTGGCTGTTTCTGAGGACTTGGTGTCTAAGCCTGTATAATTCTATATGGGGGTCACTTCTTTTGCCAGGACAAGCTGTGACTTACGTTTGTCACTCAGGCATCCAAGTGTCATGCAAACACTGGGCTGGTTCCCTGTAGGATCACAAGTCTGGACTTCTCGGAATGCCCTCCAGTTTCCCCACGTCTGCATTGAGTCGTAAGGACCTTCATGACCCAGCCTCTTTCTACCAGCTCAGGCTCCTAAACAGATGCCTGGGTGGTGCATCTTGCTAGTGAGGTAGGCCAGGCGCAGGTAAGACACAAGATATGTTGGTTGGGTTGGTAGAGTGCTTGCCAAGTACACATGAAAGTCCTGGGTCAACAATCAGTAGCACTGTGGTGTGCATGCATGCCAGAAGGCCAAGCACTTGTTTCCTGGGGGAAGCTCAAGCTAAGGAGCTCAAGGTCATTCTTGGCTAAACATGCCACCGTGGTTGGGGTTGATTCACAACTCTTTGGTGCATCAGGGTAACTAGAAAGTGTGCCGGTACAGAGTGACATGGAAATAAGTAAATGAGCGAAATCTCCCACCGTAGTAGCATGGTACCAGGCTTAGGTAGAAGCCACTGAAGAAGGCTACATGACTCTGAATGACCACTGGCAAAGCTGATGGCTAGCATCTCACTTCTTTTGGACATCTCCCTCTCGGGTGAAGAATCGCCCTTACTTCTCTGTGGCTGAGGCACTTTCTCTAGAACTTGCTTGTCCCTCATTCTGAGGTATTGGTCTCATCATCACTGTGGCCAGAAACAAGCTGGGTTGAGAATATTGGCCAGACACCCTCTGAGAATTTGATTCTGATTCCAAATCATGCCTAGTTCTCACCTTCAGAACCTTTGGACCAAAATGCTCGAGCAAGCTGGAAATGGAAGTTAAAAATTCCACGTGAGAAAGAAAAAGGAGGTCCAAGAGAGAAAGAGGTAAGTTTTGTGATCATAACTTGCATCCAGAATAAGCCTGGCCTTCCGGTAGTCAGAACACAGGAAGGAAATGTCAAGCCCAAATTACCCGCAGATTGGGCTATTAGCCTTTTGTTTCCTCCAAATGCAAAGTAGTATTTATTTGTTGGTCACAGAGTTCCCAGCACTTGCTAGTTATTGGGGCTATTAATACTGGGTGTCTCCATGGGTCTTTTTGGGTGAGAGAGTTTATATGCATAAGAAGCCACGCTGCATTTGTCTGCTTTTGACACATCGTAATTTGTGTAAAACCAGCTCACATTTGCTAAATGCTTAATGTTCCAGAAGCTGCTTTAAGACAGGAGCTGCATCTGGTCCCAGGCAACTTAGAGGTCAGAGGAGACATGAAGTCAGAGAGAGATTTATCATCTTCTTCTCATCTCTCTTGGTCACAAATGAGGCAGGGTAGAAAAACAGCGAATTGTGGTGCCATGGGGACAAAAGGCTGGGAAGGGGGGAGGCTGTGGTCCTGAGATCCCATCTGCTTTTGATGCTCAGAAAGGCAGGAGACCAGGCTTCAGAGGCCACTGAGAGGGTGTCAAATGATCCAGGATGTGTGTGTTTCCCAAAAGGTATCACATAACAAAGGCTATAAATAAAGTGTGCTCGCTTAGGGCCAGGCAGCACGATAAGTTCTCAACGCCTTCTTAATCGAGGGTATAGGGACAGTGATAAGGTTGTGCTAGATTGGGCTAAAATGATGTATAATTGTGTATTAGTCAGGGTTCTCTAGAATTTATAGAATTTATTATAATGACTTACAGGCTGTGGAAAGTTCAAGACTCCAGGAGTTTTTCAGTTCACAGGGCTGGATGTCTCAGCTGGTCTTCAGTATACACTGGAACCCTGAAGAAGTAGGCTCTGATGCTAGGGAAGGAATAGATTTGCCAGCAAGATGAGAGCAAGCTGGCAAAGAGCAAAAACTTCCTTCGTCCATGCCCTTATCTAGGCTTCAAGAAGAATGTGTAGCCCAGATTGGAGGTGAGATTTCCCAGCTCAAAAGATCTGGATTAAAGGTGTGTCTTCTACCTCAAAGATCAGGTTAGAAGTGGATCTTCCTACTCCAGATTTAACAAAGATTCCCTCACAATTGTGCCCCCTCCCACTTTTGAAGTTTGGCTAATTCCAGATGTAGTCAAGTTGACAACCAAGAGCAGCCATCACAAATGTTATGCTCCAAGCTCTGTCCTCTCTTGGACTTAGACGATTGCCCCCATAAATACACAACCTTGTTTACTGGGTGTGATGGTTTGAATGTAACCAGCTCCCAGAGGCTCACAGGAAGTGGCGCTATTAGGAGACTTGACTACTAAGATACTGATTTAGAAAAAACACTTCAGCTTTTAACCCTGTTACTAATTAAGTCTTTGGGCAACGTTAGAGAGGGAGTGCTTTCTTAGCAAGCTCTGTAGATGTAACTTGAGAGCCACCGAAATCCCACACATAACTATTATAAAGAAACCTAATTGCGGCTCTCCCTTAGAGAAGCCTGGCATGTCCTAATCGGTGTGCTTGACTCTCTCCTGGGACACCCTTCTATTTTCAGTCAGTCTGAGTTTGCTTCACACGTGACTCACCCTGAAATCTACTGTCTAAGCCACAGGCCCATTTCATCTGGTTGAAGGTGTTTTGAAAAGAACTCTTCGGGAAGCTCCCAACTTGGTGTGTATCTGTATCCCCGCTGCCAGCGATACAAGGACCAGTCACAACGTAGGTTAGAATTCTTAACGTCCAAATCAAGTCTCATCCTTCTTCTGGGTAGGGGGAGAAATCCCAGTCACTGCACACTTTGAACAGAGTTTCAGCGACTCTAGAGCTGTCAGAGCTGTAACACTAGTTCTCACTTAGGATATATATTTAGCAGCAATTGACTACAATTTGGTGGGGTGGGGAGAAGAAACAAAGGCAAAGAAGATAGCGTTTTATGCAGTGTTCTACAAAAATATAACAAGAACTTGAAAGCGAATATTATATAAAGGATTAAGAAAGGCTCAGGAAAAAAAGCCACAAGTCTCCTGGCTGCTATACCATCTTAGAAATAGCATGTGTTTCCTTCGGCATGGTGAGATAAAGGAATCAAGCATATATAGAGGTGACTTTGAAACTTCAGAGCCCAGCGTGCAGAGCTGTTCAGCATAATGCATTTTATGAAAACGGGCGCTATGCTTTGCAATGTAAATCTGTAGACCTCAGAACCACACCCCTTACTTCATACCCTCTTCCTTATCTGACTCTAAGGGCAGGTTCTACACAGACCATTTTATCAAGATAATGGTCACTGTACTTCGGGGGTTAGGTCAGGCTCATGCTGATTCTCTCCCTCGTTTTTAAGATTTAATCAGGTTGAGCGTCTTAGGTTGAGTGTTTTTGTCATTTTAAGAGCCAGTCTAAAAGCACCAATCCCATCTGTCCCGTTTTTACTCATCAGTGTTCGGTAAGCGCCATTTCTCTTTTAGATCGTATTTCTGAAACCATTTTAAATATCAGCGAAGAGCTCTACAAACACACATTCCTCAACTCCTCTGAGAGTTTTTCTCATGACACGTGTAGCAAGTGTGACTACTGTGTTTAGTGTTTACTTAAGTGCCTGGAAAGTGTCTTTTCTTCTCCATTAGTCTGTGTGGAACACCATCTGGCTCACCTTAAGACGGGACTCACGAAGACTGTCCACTGACAGTCTTAGCTCATGCAAGCAGCATCAATCAATCAACTAACTCTTTGGGCCTTTATTCACCAAACTGAATGCTTTCCATTAGGGAGGAATTCTACTCAAAGAGAAAGTCTGAGAAAATTATGTAGCAATCATCTTCCCCTTGACCTAAAAATAAAATACAAATGTGAACACATTCACAGCATTTCATGTTCCCACCTCCCCCTTAACCACCCAGAGACATGGCTGAACTAAGCAGAGGGGCTGTAAACCCTTCTTGGGCCCATCATCAGGAGTCTGTGCAATAACTTCGAGATTCTTCACTGATTAGCTGTGTCTTCTCATTTGCATTTGTAGGCTGGAGAACAACTGGAAAGTCCATATCTGGTGGGGGGAAGGGGGAGACACAAAGAACCAATAATCAGACGGGTTTCTACCAAGTTCCTTTGATATTGGGGCAAAAGGCAGGTATTTTGTTGAAATGACAAGCAAATCAACTCACAAGACATTGCCTGAATTCTTCGAATTTTGCTAGTTATGGGATGACAACTAAATACAGGTTGGACACTGTACATTCCAGGTTTCATTTCTCATAAAAGCTACATACAACATGTATGAAAAATGTCATTTATATGGAGGATGAGCTCTAGAGTCTTGCAGCCCATGACTGCAAGTGTGGCTTTTGTTGACAAGAGTTCAAGCTCGGAGCTTGCTTTGGTGGAGAACCCCAGAGGAAGCCTAACACAGGAAGCTAGTGTCCAGAGTAGCCACATTTTCTCTCCAGTCTGCATGAAGCTCTTTTCTGGTGCTCGACTGAAAAAGCTTCCTTAAAAATGTATAATGACAACCAATAAGCACACAAGTTGGCAGCCATGTCTTTACAGCACCCATGTCTTGCAGAAGGCACCCAGAAAATCGCTCAGCACAAACACTGTTGGACTCTCAGGACCCAGCAGTAATGGATGACTTCACATTCCACCTAGCACTAAAAAATTCCCATAAGATTGTAAGAAACTTGAGCTTATAGTCAACACGTACACGCACACATACACATCATACTCACAGGAAAAGTGACATAGACACAATATACATGGACTGAAAGCTGATAGTAACAAAATAGGGCCCAGAAGGACTTCAGTCTTTGCATTTATCAAACAGAATTTATGAGAACTGTATATTTAAGGTTATCAGACTTTGAATTCAATACAAAGCCAGTGATTAAAGTACCTGAAGTTACATTTAAAAAAAAAAAAAACTAAAGAGCTTTAAAAAGCTAGAAAGGAAATTCATGAAGCAGAAGACCTATCCAAAGAGATTATTCAGAACTTAACCCAGATGCGAAAAGAAAATATGATACTGCATTAAAAACTATCAAGGGCAGTATGAAGACAATACGCCCTCTCAGGATGAAATTCCAAAAGCTGGAAAGGAGTCTTTGAATCCCCAGATCCAAGAAGCAACCGAATTCTCTCACAAGGTCACACTCCTTTCTTCTCTTGCCTGCTTCTTTCTCTCCTTGGTGGTGGTGTGTTTGTGTGTCCAGGTGTCCGTTTGCGTGGGACAAGTGTACGTGCAGGTATGGACAATGTATGTGGAGGCTGGAAGCAAACCGTAGGTGTTGTTCCCCAGAAGCCATTTACCCGGGTCAGCCTTTGGCCTCCACACACGTGCATACACACATGTACTGACCCTAAACCACACATACACACACCACACGTGCATACAGATGCTCCATCCTACTAGTCGATGAAGAGATACAAACTAGAGCTACGGCACTATGCTGTATCCCTGGCACTACGCCATAACCCACACTCGATTGACACATATTTCCAGTCTGGCAATGTCAAGTGTTGGCAAGGATATGAAGCAACAGAAACTCATGTTAGCTCTTAGTGGGGATGTAAATGAACTCCTCAGCTTTGCAGAACTGCTTGGCGCTGCTTAATACATTGTAGGTGCACATGCCCTGTGCCTAAGGGATTCGGGTGCTGTGTGTAAACACAAATGCCCCTTAGCACTCATTTACCAAGACGTAAGTACAAGATCATTCCTGCCAGCTGTCTGCAATGGCAAACGAGGTAGTTTGCTCATGTTCACTGAGAATGGACACTAAATTATGGATTCTTTCTCGGGATATTACAACAGTGACAATAAACAGATGGAGTCCAGACAAAAGAGGGCCAGTGGCTTAGACAGTGGATTTCAGGGTGAGCCAGATGTGAGGCAGAGTCAGACTGATTGAAGACAGGAAGGCATTCTGGGAAAGAGTGGAGCACATCAGCAAACTGAATCTCAGCCCGTAATGTTGAGGAGAGCAAAGCAAGTTACAGAAAGTGTTACTGTACGGCAAGGCCATTCATTTAAGATCCAAAGACGGGCAAAACCAAGCAGGGTGCTGATTAGGAATATAAATATAATGGTGATACCTAAGTGAGAGTGGGGAACTCAAGGAGGGAAGAGGGAATGCCACAGAGGAGGTAGCACCGTTCTCTGATGGGAAAAGTTAGTCTCAATATTTGCTTGTATCTGTTTAATAAAAGCAGTAACAGTGGAAAGATCTAAGAAGTGAATTAAGTAAGCAACCCTCAGCCGCATTTCACAGAACTGGGACTGGCTCACCCCACTGCCTCAGGCCTCAGCAGCTAGCAGTGTTAGGGCGGGATAACTTCCCCACATCCCAAGCTTAACGAGTATTTTGCTTTGCTTAATTCTATTTCCTCCATCCCTTCCCCCACTCCGTACTTCTAGCCACAGGGGAGCTTTTCAGACCGCACACGCACACGCACGCACGCACGCACGCACGCACTTCCCCACCTCTGTGTAGTTAGTTGCCAGACGTCTCCCTGGACCGAAATGGAAGCCAGTGGGGCTGCCCTTTGCCCTCCCTTTCCCCTCGGTCCTGGTGACCACCAAACTATTGTCTCCTCCACAAATTCAAAGGCCCTGAACATTTTTTCTGTAACCTCCCTATAATCACATCATGCTTAGCTCTTGTGCCTAGCTCCTCTCACTTAGCATCACACCCCTATGTCTGAGACTTTACAGAGTGTTCCGCACTTCCCTGAGTCCCGAGGCTCTCTCCGGGCTCCTTTTCCTCTCTCCTAGCCATTCCTGGCATCCAACTGCTGCCGCTGATTCTGATGCAGAGCCCCTCCTTGTATAAACATTCCGGCCTCATTGCAAATATCACCTTCAGGAAGGGAAGGAAGCCATACTAATTCAGAGGTAAAACTGTCTGGTGGGGCTCCCTGATAGACTTCACCTGCCTTGCCTGGTGTTTACACCATTCACCCTCTTACCCGCAGGGCTTAGGGAAGGACTGTACCAAATAATTCTTGGGTGAAGATTGGCTTCTTTAAAGGTTCCCATCTCCACAGTTCCCTTCTTCGGGAATACCTTCTATATTTCTGCTTTAAATGTCACTGGGGAAGCTGTGCTAGCCTGAATTTAGGTCAAGCTCTTTATTGTTCACTTTGACAGGCCCCATGTTTCTCTCCTGGCTGATTTATTGTGTAAATTGGCTAGCTCTCTGTGTTTCTATGTTTAATATTTGCCTCTAAATCTTACTCGCTAGATTGCAATCCTCAAGATTCCAGGAACCAGGTCTGCTAAGGTACTGTGGGCAGATATCAAGTGCTCAATAAAAAAAGCATCGAAGGTGCACTTTGAGCTGCCTTGTTGGGGACAGTCCTCGGCTGGCTCACCCATCCTACTGCCCTGGCCTTAATGCTCCATGACGTCTTTGTATGGAGCATCACAGATTTCCCTTGTACTGTTCTTAGACACTGGTTCCTCATTGCAGGGAAATGGAGACTAAGTATGGAGCCCAAAAAGAGAGAGGATGAATTTCCATTTCCCTCAGTGCCCTCTCCCTGGACAGGCAGCTGTAATGAATGTTGAGTGATGTTCGATGTGCCATTCATGTCTGTCTATATCTTGGCGGAGACCAAGAGCCATATGGCTGCTTCTGCTCAGTGGTTGTGAATTTGAGTTCTATCCAGGCGAGGGGCAATTACAACTAAGCAATCAACATTTTTTTCTGTGCTCTGAATCATACTCTTTTAGATCCAAGGTCAGTACTACAAACTCTCCTCTCCTTTAGATACCCTACTCCACCTCTTTCCATAGAAAGGAAACCATCAGTTCACAAGGAATTGTTAATATTTGCCTGAACAATCTTGGTTGGATTTCATTCTATTGGCTTTGACATAGAAGAGAAACAAGCAAGCAAACAAACAAAAAGCCTGACTTATCCTTATCTTTTTGATGACTGGTACAATTTAGGCTTTTGTAGCCTTTACTCCTTGTGAGACACAGGGAGGGGGAGGGGAGAGAGGGAGGGAAATGGCATTGTGGAATATGATTCTACCACAGCTGAGAGAATTCAGATTTCCTTGTGGCCTTCAGATGTTAACGGGACACAGCCTGTTTTAATCACGCCTCTCAACATTCCACAGAGTGGAGTTTCTACATGTGAGCATGTGAGAGCAAGGGACATAACGTTTCACTGTTTAGGTTTTAGTTCCTCAAAGACTAAAAATTACCCAAGGTAAGTTCTTTTGATACCGACTGGTTTCCAAGAGCATGACAGTTCTTCTAGGTTTGCATGGGGAGAGAAAGACGGGAGACTCAGTTAGTGAGCTCTCCAGATGGCCCCAAATACTGAAGGGTGACATGAACTGTCTGCTCCTCAGTTTTTAACCATAGCAGCTGGGTAACATTCTTCAACACCGTCTAAAGAAACAGAGCAACTCAAACAACTCTCTTCTGTCAGCAAAAGCCACCCAGCGCCACCACACCTGTGGGTGCACATAAAAGATGGCTGCACTCTATCTTGGCACAAGGACAGAGAGTTCAAAACTGTCCTCAGCAAGTCATAAGACCTAAAGGTCAAAGGTAGGATGTTTGGCTGTGTTATTCTAAGTAACAACAGACCTTAACCTGAGGGGTGGCTACTCCTGACCTCAAGGCTAGGGAACAAGAAATTGGAGCTAAGGTGTGGTTACTGAACCCTTAGAATAACTGAGGAAGAAAAGTCTGTTTGTTCGTATACATGACATTTAAAGCAGAAATATAGAAGGTATTCCCGAAGAAGGGAACTGTGGAGATGGGAACCTTTAAAGAAATGACCTGCCGGGGCTTTTTACCCAGCTTAACAGAGGAAGGGCAGCAAGGGTTCAGGTAAGTGTAGATGCTGGACTCAGTTCACTACTTCAGGTTTTCCTACTACAAATGGAATGTTAGGAAAACAAGAAGTGCCATGACGTGTGTGAAAACACCACAGTGAAGCTCTGCTCTGCATTTTGATTCAGCCTAGAATAAAAAGATAAAGATAGAAAAAAAAAAAGTTAAGACAATGTCAACACAGACACTGTCATTTCCCTGTCCCTCCCTGTACTGTTGGTGGCCGAGCATTGGGCTGACTGACGGGAGTAATGGGGGACAGATCATGTGTCAGGGAGACATGGTGTCATGACTCTGCACACACAGAGACTTCACACCGTACCCCCAGAGACAGCCCACACGCCCCATCTCTTCCCTTGTAGGAATTGACATTTCGGTTCCCTTAAAGGTCAGTGTACTGGTTTTCCTGGTGAGTTACACCCAGAGAAAATGAGTTGTAGCCACAGAAATGAAGTGTGGCATTTTCTTCTTAATTCTTAAGCACCTCCCTCACAAGAGATATGTGACCCGTGTCCTGTAATCGTCATTTGTGAGCAAGTTGTGACACAGACCTCACCACCTTTCCCTAATGAGAAGGCCTTTCCATGCAATCATCACTGCTTAATTCATTTGTTAGTACTCCTGAATGCCTGTTCCTTCTGTACATCCTCATTAAGAGATTTAATATTTGTCACTGTCTATACAAAATAACACCAAGTAATAGTACAACCATTGTATTTCCCCATCCGGCCAGTTTGGTTCCAATATCAGATCAGAATGATCAAAATACTTTTATTTGCTGGATGGCCATACTCATTGCAAGACATCACAGTTTACAACAACAAGAAAAAACCCCAAACAAACAAAAAACCCACAAAAATCCAAACCAAAATAAACAAACCAAAAACCCTCTTTGAGCTCCCAGTTCCGTGAGTCTAGGATTCAGTACTATTGGAGTGATCAAGGACAATCTTTTGCTGGCGTCTGCAGAGTTCATTCCCACAACAGGTTACTTAGCATTACATCTGATGGGAAATGCAGGCATATGGAAGCCTTTACATTGTCCCTGGTGCAGTGTTAGTTAGAGTGACCAGAGAAGTAGGGGGTGCACTGTTCTGGTTCTTTCCGTCATCAAGCAATCCCTTCAGTTGTTTGCGGGGACTTAGGAGCGATGAAGTCTGCACCCCGAGATCATAATGTATTCCACAGGAGAAAACGACCACAAGAATGGCTTCAAGACAAAGCGACAAAGCAATACAAAGGCTGGCTTGATCCTAGATGGCTTAAACAAAGACATTGCCCAGCGACCATAAAATATCTCTGGTGTTTTGAATTCTGTGAGATCTTTCTTTACAGTTTTTTTTTTTCTTTTTGGATAGTATGAACTTGAAAAATATAGCAGAGTTGTATGCAGACAGACAGACAGAGGTGGCTGAGCAGAGTGGAGATGCGTGCTCTATTTTTAAAAAGTGTGTAATATTTGTCTAATGATGCAAAGATGTGTTGCATCCTTTTATGTTGCATTCATTTAGCTCTGTGAAGCTGTGTTACTTTGCCTGTCTAAAACATCTGATTGGTCTAATAAAGAGCTGTCAGTAGCTAGGCAGGAGAGAGTAATGGGTGGGGCTGGCAGGCAAAAAGGGTGGCGGAAGAAAAGGAGGGGGCACCAGCCACTCATCCACACAGCCGGCCATGGAGTAAGAAGTAAAGAAAGGCAGAAGAGAGAAAGGTAAGAGCCCGAGGCAAAGGGTAGACTGGATAATTTAAGAAAAGCTGGCTAGAAACAAGCTAAGCTAAGGCCGGGCATTCATAAGTAAGAATAGGTCTCCATGTATTTATCTGGGAGCTGGGTGGTGGGCTCCGAATAATAAAAAACAAACAAACAAACAAACAAACAAAAAAAACAAAAAATCAACTACGTTAGCTTTCCAGCACTGGGAGCTCTCACCCTAACTTCCCTGAACCAGAGCCCATTTCTCTTGTAAAGGGATGGAGAATGGCTCTTGTTTTACATCAACACCGGCCTTGAGTTATTTCTCTCTAACAGTGTTTAGCCTTTCTCTATGCTCATCAAGGTGATGCCTTTCATCTTCTGGGAAATGCCCACCAAAGCTGATAGTGTTGGGGGAGTGGCCTGTATGGTCCCGCCCTGGACGCGTTACTTTAGGAAGACCCTGGACCCACTCGGATCTCTGACATGACGCCCATTTACCCCTACGCTCAGCTAACCCTACCTTTTTCCATGTCAGTCCTGATCTGTTCCTCAAGGTCCTCTGGTGACACGTAGAAGTCCTCTTCTGGCGCTGATGATTTGGGCCGACAGTGTCCACAGCAGCAGTTGAAGCAGCAGCAAAGGCAGCAGCAAAAATAGCAGCCTGTCAAGAGGCCAATGATGATGAACAGGGTCTAGGGTAAACAGATCAAATTCTGAGTGAGGGGCATGCAGAGGAAGATGAGCCCACAGACGTCTGTAACTATGTACCTCAGAGGCCTGGTGACTCAGTCTCAGCAGGCTGGGCACCCACACACCCTTATCTCCGCAGAAACCATCTTGTACGCTCCTTTTAACTAACTTTTTTTTTTTCTCATAAACGTTTGTACGGATGAGACCTAGAGGAAATTTTTTTTCCACCGGAGTAGGGAAGCTGCCGCTGTTTCTCCTTTTACCTTGGGCCGTTTTGAGTACTGAGAGTGAGAAAGCAAAGCAAAAACCGGACCAACTGCTGGACAGATTACCCACTGGCCAAGTGAAGAAGTTCATAGAGGTCAGTGCTCACCCCAGAGACGCATGCGGCAGGGGAGTGCCCCTGTAATGCCTCCCCTGCAGCCCCAAGTCCCTTAGTACCCGGGTCCCGCGTAGCCTCTCCACGACATGCCCATGCCCTCCCTCTCTTCCCTGTTTGGGTGGGAGGGCTTTGCTGATTCTGCTCAGGGTCTCTGGTGTCACTTCAGGAGCCTCCTGTGGTTGCTTTGCCCTCGCTCACCCTTGCTTCCTCTGACCCCAGCCTGGGCAGGGCCGCCGGAGTGAACTATATGAGACCCTTGTTCTCCGGGGCTCTTGCGGCGGGTTTCCGCCTCTTCTGCCACACAGCTAGACTCTCTGTGTGCATCTGCCAAGACGGCCCTGCCCATTCTTCAGTTTACACCCAGCTGATGTACAAGATCACCTCAAAAACCACCCTTATGATGCCTTTCCTGAGTCCACTCCGATCTAAGAACTGCTTGCCCTTCAGATCCCAGCTGTATGTCAAGCCAACTGAGATCTCTACTCCGTTCTTGCTGACAGCTGGAACACAGGCTGGCTGACAGGTCTGTCTCATTATACCAGGCTGAATGTCTTACAGGCTACAACCAAGACTCATCCTTCAACACCATGGGCCTGGTGGATTAGTACCTGACGCGTTGCAGACACCCAGTTCCTACCGAATTAACGAGTATACAAAACAATAGGCAAACAAATTATTTGTCCCTCCCAGGGAACAACACCAAGATCTCTGCACAAGCACCAACGGCTTACTCATTAAACAGGAGACACTTTCTCTTGACTTCCCCAATCTGAAATTCCAAGAAAACCATTTCTTTTTTTGTTTTGGTCAACTGAGAAAACCTGTATTTATTATGATAAAGAAGTTTGTACATCTTAAATCTTAATTCAGATTTTGTAGAATAAGTGAGTGGGATGGGGCACGGATAAAGTTCACATGTATGCATACACACTTGTCCAGCGACCTTAGAAGAATTCAGTGTTGACATCCCCACGCTCCTTCCCCTCATCACCCATCTACTTATCATGGATCCAAGAATGGGATAGAGCCTGAAGATGGCTCGCAGATGAGGACCAATGGTCATACATTTACAGCCTCTTTGCTATGTGTGTTGCATCATTTCATCACTTTAGGGAAAATTAAAACCCCGCACTTGCCTCCGAGACCAGCCATGGCCCTCAGGGACCACTGTTCTTCCTCGCCTCTACGCACCACAGCTTCCGGACTGTTCTCCGACACTCCCCTTTCAACACTATCCTGTTTCTCCAGGGAAACTGGCCTTTGAGAGAAACAGCCTTACTTCATGCCCTAGCACATCCACGACACTGTTATGGACAAGCAGGCATCTGGTATTTTTAAATGTACATCTTGATGGTCCATCGAGTCACGCATCGTATATGAGGCATATTTGGTGTCATTTTGGCTAGCACCACACAGCAGGAAAGAGAAGCATGTTCCTTTTTACAGAAATGTGCCTGTGAGGCTTGTCCGTAGAAGTTTTCACCACTTTCTTCAGCCTCCTGGACAAGATGATCCAGGACAGACAAGGTACAGTATTCAGCCAGGTAAACGTGCATGTTAGTGTGCCTGCAGATTCTCCTCCCCAATAGTGTCATGCTTGGAGCAAAGGGTCCCAGGCAACCCCACAAACCCATACACGCTTTCTTCTCATCCCAGGCTCCAAATCTACTCAGCACCATCTCGTTCTCCAGTTTCCCACAGAGAAAGGTCAGTGGGATCTAGGAAAGTTAGCAGAAGGCGAGCGTGGCTCTGTGGTAGACTGTGTTTCCATGCCTACCTATAAAAACATACTCTCTCAATTCTCATGTTCAAACAGGAAGGTCAAGTGGGAGAAAACGGCCATCAAAATTCTGCTCAACGTGAATCCTGCCTTTTCCAGAGAGCGGGGTTTTAAAAAGTATTACTTACCACAACTTACATGACTGTCAGCTGCTCACAAGATACATTAATGGATGTATGTTCTATATGTAAAATATTACTTTTATCACAAAGAATATTAAAATTCATAAAATATAAGGCCATCACCAATTGTACATATATTAGTGGTTCCTGAGAAGGGAGATTACTATTAAAATTCTGATTTATTAAGTCTTTATAATGTCTTTTTCTTAACCAGGTATTAATTTCTCTCTCCCTTGCCAGTTCCCTGTCTTCTACTATTTAATTCTTTCCTTTACCCTCAATGTCTTCTCTGCTACTTCAAGGCCAACGCCAGCTGAGCCTGTGACATAATTACCACTCATTCTCTTACGTATTGTTTTTGCTGATGTAGCCTATGCTATAGATAGTAAAGTGCATGGCTAAATTTGTCTTATAATAATTTATTAAGTAGTTGTCACACTAATAAATTATTTTGGGTTTTGAACAATGAGTCAGTTCTTAATTAGTCACCACAGGAGAAGAGAGGAGCGGTTGGAATTAACCTGAAGCTCCAAACTCAAATATAATTAATGTCTAGAAGTCTGTTAAGTCATGTTGGATTTCATAATTAATTGATGGACTGAAGAAACCTGGTCCCCAAATAATAGCTTTCGGTGGAAGTGATGTCTCATTTTATTTACAAGAGTTTAATAGAAGGAAGGTTGGCCTTTCTTTGAGATAGGGTCTAAAAGAATGAATAATACTCTGATCTTCCAGGAAATTGTTTTTGAAAAAAAGAAAAAAGGGATTTACCTTTGCCCACCAGCTTGACAGCATGAAGTATGTGTTAACGTTTTCATCTCCAAATTGCTCAGCCACGTAGAGTCCCAGTGATCCGTACTTGTCATATATGTTTCTCTTTGACGGGTCGGTGAGGATTGTGTGGGCATTGTTGATTTCTTTAAACTTCTCAGAGGCAGATGGATCATCCGGATTCTTGTCTGGATGGTATTTCAGGGCTAATTTTCTTTGTAAGTTAAAAGTTAGGAGGAAAAAGCATTAGCTGTTTATCAAAAAATACATTTTATAAAAGGCAGGGTTCATTTGTACACACTTGCCTAAAAAATAGGTCTTCATTAAATGATGTCATTTGTTCCCAAAATGCAGAAGCAATCAGACTGTTTCTCTCTCCACGTTATCAAAGGAATTCTCATTAGGGGCATAAAGGCTGTGCATACTACTGGCAAATGAAGGTGACTGTAGAGCATCCCAACACATGGAGGTCTTTACGACTTCCAATTTACACTAGAATTCCACTTAGAACCCATAGAGCTATCTAGAGAACTTCACGTTATATAGTCTTAAAGTATAAAATAAAAACTCTTAAGTTTATATTATCATGAACAAATATTAGGATCTCTTCTTAAGTCCCCTCCAACCTTTCATGCTTCTAAACAAAGTCATGGTTCTCTTGATTCCAAGTACACTGTCCAGAGCTCAGAAGGAAGATCCTGTAAGAGACAGATGGGGGTGGGGGGAGTTCTTGCTAGGCAGCTGATATTTACAATCCGGAAGCTGCAAGAGAGTGCAAACAAAGCGGTCCAAGAAGTTCAAAGACAGCTTTGGGCTAGGATTTAAGAAAAACCATCCATGTAGGGTTGGGCACATTTACAATCCCAAGAGGCCAAAGCAGGAGAGCCTTGAGTTGAAAGCCACTGTGTCTCAAAATCAAAAACATCTAAAAACAAACAATTAAAAGCAGGATCAATGAAACAGAAGAAAATATCTGGACAGTGCAGTCTGGGATCCGAGGGAAGAAGGTATTTCAGAGAGGAACACCCCTGGGATGGCTGATTCAGGGAGAGGCTAAGAAAGCTGAGGGCTCATAACTGACCACTGGTGACCCAGATATCCTCGTGACCACACACACACACACACACAATCACACACACACACACGCAATCACACACACACACATACACACACACATACACACACACAATCACAATCACACACACACACACAATCACACACACATACACACACATACACACACGTACACAGAGGGAGAGAGAAAGGGGGGGGGAGAGAGGGGCAAGGTTCTAAAAGGGAGACAGTAGTAAGGGTTAAAGTAGGAAATAGGAAGACTGGAAGCTAACAACCAGAATTGACAGCCTTTATGGCGGTACATAATAATTACAGCTAGTCCTTTGCTTTATTTTTGCTTATTATTAATATGTATATATATTGCTTGTGTTTGCTGAAGCATCTTGAAACTCCAATGACAAAATCTGTTCTATTGGAACATCTGGAAATTCCCGTTTTACAACCTGTTACTGAGCCAGAAGGGGCAGGAGAAGATGAAAGGAACATGCTCAGAGTAAGTTGAATGCTCACTGCCTCAGCCCCTCCGGCGGATTCTTCAAGTCTTAACGGTATAACACTCCTATGTGCAGTGTCTCTCCAGGTTAGCGCTCAAGATACCAAGTGTTTGTTATCCAACCAATCGGAAGAGCTATGACCTCTGTCCAGAAGGGAAAATTTCCCTGGAAAATGGCTCTGATTTGCCTTGCCTACCCAGACTATGCCGGAAGCCCGGCTCCCTGTCATTTTTCACCCTGTTGGATCTTTGTCAGCTCACAAGGGCAGATGCACTCAATCCATTCATCACGCTCCTCTAACAATGCTGTTGGCTGATTCCGAGGGCTGGAACACCTCCATTTGTAGCAATGCCAAGTCCTGGTTGTCAGTGGTGTCTTGACTCCTCTTGGCAGACACTCTTGGCTCTGAGATTCCTTGGCACAGATGGCCAAAGAGGGGCAGCTGCCCAAATTACACAACTGCTCAAGCAGGTGAAGTCACTGAGTGTCCCACCTTCTTGGGGACTGTCCCCAGAGCAAGGAAACGCACAGGGGACGCAAAGGGTTGAGCAAAGCTGGGACTGTATTTACACGGAGCAATCGCCTGTTTGTGCTGAAGGTGTTTCTTGGGCTTTCTAATTTCACACGTTAAGTGGCATAGTATTCGACTAGAACGTAAGTCTTCTTCTCCAAACCTCTCTTGCTTTCCAAAAGTGGCCCATAAGGGAGATAAACAGGACACAGCTAACACTCTCAGATGAGACCTTCCCACTCTCACCTGGGGCAGGGCCTGACTGGTTCACGAAGCTCTACCCCTGTGTTGGAATGTCAGAGGCGAGCTATTGGAGCATCCTCCACAGCCACACTGCATGGTTTTGGGGCGTCCGCTTAAGCCACATTCTGTCTCCAGCTGCTTTTCTCCTGCTCAACCCATGCCTCCCTTTCCTCAAGTCCCTCTTGTTGCTTATCATTTCAAAGATACCTTAATTTCCTCTGGACCATAACCTTGAGCCATTCTGACCTCTCAGGTACCTACTTGCAGGCTACTGAAAGGAAGATGGAGCTACTGATTTCTTCCTGAACTCTAGAACTGTTGAAACTGCCCTCACGGCAGAGCCAGTACTTTTTGTTTCATTTTGATATTTAAAAAAAAAATAATCTTATTGGGTTTTTGTTTGTTCACAGAGCGTGAAAAACGTTTAATTAGAAAAATACAACACCACTGAGCTGTGGTGGTGCACATCTTTAATCCCTGCACTCTGGAGGCAGAGGCAGGCAGGCAGGTCTCTGTGAGTTCCAGGCCAGCCTGGTCTGCAGAGTGAGTTCCAGGACAGCTGGAGCTACACATAGAAACCCTGTCTTGAAAAACAAACAAAGGAAAAGAAACATATAGTCCCAGGCTATAATAAAGAGAGCATTCCCTGGGATCCAGTTAGAAAGAGATCCTTTTTCTAGAGATACGTAGATGAGCTGCCCTAACCAGTTTGCAGAATTAGAACCTGCCAGCTGAGAGACCGTGGAACATCTGAAGCCGTGTGTGACAGGCGAGTGTGACAGGCGAGAGTCTAGATCCCTGTGCCCTCCTGGACTCTGGGGAGGCCCAAACAAAGATACAGGAGACTGATACACTGACATTTGAGGAAAATGAGTACCTTGATGTCTGTCATTCTGAGTCTGAGCATGCCTATGTAAATCGTTTCTCTATATGTATATGTTTTGTGTGCATTTGTATGTTCACCTATGTGCAACAAAATAAAACTGTATATTACATAGGTATAGAAGGAGACTTGGAAGTGCTATCTTTCTGCTTTTATAAGCTCGTAGCTTATGCCGCCTCTGACACTTTTATTGGTTATTTATACTGATACCTCTACTCCCTTTGTTGCATTGTTAATGACGGCATCTTTTGGTGGATAATATTGTTTAAAGATCCTTCCTCTCAACTTACAGAATCTGTTATATTTCATTGGCTGATTTAGTCATCTCTCCGCACCGTAGAGAACAGATCCTTTCATATTGTTCTTTAAAAGTTCTGCTCTAGGTAGGGCAGAGTATATGACAGGTGAGTGATGAATTGTTGGCTCAGCCTCCAACACAGGAACGAAGAGCTCTGGGCAATCTGTGACTTCTACACTTCGGCATAAATGTGACAGAATTGGCTTGCAAATTTATAAACACACATATTCACATACCTCACAGAGACTTGCTGTGAAAATTCTCAACCCTGTCTTCTCATCTTTTTAATCATATTTGTTTTGTAATCCACATCTGACAATTCTACCATCTGGGGTTCCCCTAGTCCTGTTACCTCACTTCTAACTCCAGTGCCATGGCTTTCGTAATCTCTGTATGATAATATTAATTAACTAAATTAATATTAATATCCCTAGAAGCAATTTGAAGATAAAGATGTAATCTCACACCACAGAGCACTTTATTTCCTACTTTTAGATATCTGGGGGAATCATCTTAACCAATATAATGAGCAAAGCTTTTCTTCATTAAACAGGTATCTACAAGGTAAGCGGTTGCCCACAGTTGCTGTTTCAATTGCCTACAAAATTTCTAACAGCCTACAAAAGGGTTTCAAGCTTAATGCCCTTAAAACAATAGCATTTGATGTATTTACTTGGAATATTATAGTCAGACAGGAATACATAGGAACAGTTTTACTTAGCTCTGCTTGTCTTTCTGGGGAAGCTCAGTCCACTAACACTGCCATGTGGTTTCCCCACAAGACTAAAGAGGACGTTCTTGGAGAAGTCAGATTTCTTAAACAGTGGTAATGTAAACCAGATTGCAAAACAGAAAAGGCAGGCCATTTGAAGATTTGGAATAGCATTATGCATTACTTATTTTTAGGTAGGCTCTCTTGTAGCCCAGGCTGATCTTCAACTCAATAGGTAGTCAAAGCTGGCCTTGAATTCCTGATCTACCGGCCCCCACCTTCCAGATTCTGCGATATTAACCTGTACCACCGTCACTTCTGACACATTGGTGAAAAGAACTCATAAACCCGGCCTTGATTCAAGTCACCATCGGGACAGCTTTATTGTGGTCCACCAGTGTCATTCCAACTACAGCTGATTTGCTTCGAGTAGTCTTGGGTCCTGAGTTGTGGTACTCTAGCATCTCAATAAACTTTCAGAATTCCCTTCTTTGGGCCATTTCTACAATCTCTCCCCTTCTCTGCGGAGTTGTTTGTAGACGGCTCAACCATGCAACCTCTCTTCCCTCAGATGGTGGTGTGGTCAGTAGCTCTTCGGTCTCAAATGCTTTTGAGACACTTCCTCTTGTTTTTTTTTTTTTTTTTTTTTTTTTTTTTTTTTTTCTGTTTCTCTCATTGGCAGGGAGAGCTGGGAGGAATCACTCAGCCAGCGATGGTCAGGGACTTCCTGATTATCCTCTTCTAACTCTTTGTTAATCTCTTGGAGCTTCCTAGCCTGTGCAACAAATGAGCTTGCCTGTTCGCCCAGGGCTCTTTCTTCAACTGCAGCTGAGACCCATTAGCTCAGAGCCTGCTAAAGCCAAAGGCAAATTTTGACACATCCAATTATTTTAAAAATAGCCCAAACAAGCCTTCCTATTTTATACATCCTGCAAGAACGCATTGGCATCTGCTGGCCATTGACTCTCCAGGGTTCTGAGTCTCGGCCCTGAGCAGCAA